GTTTACACAGCTTTATTTTAATTTTAATTTTAAATACTTTGCATTTTAAAATCAACTTCTAAATGTCAGTTCAGTCGTCCCTATAACATGACAATTTTAATTTGTGGTGCTTCTAATTAAGTGATAAAAAGCAGTTGCAAATGTTGTACAAAATAAATATCACCACTACTCATCTTTGCACCAATAAAATGTAAAAACACTGTTTTTCTACCAAATTATATGTAATATCTAATTATTACATTAATATTTAACTTGCATTGGAAAGGTTTCCGTGACCTCTCGCGAGATCTCGGCAAAAAGTCTCACGATTTATTTCCAGAACATGATGCATGATGGGATACACTAAGCCTCGAATAGCGCTCCGGAGTGGTATTCGAGATAGTGTGGGTTTAGTGTGCGTTAAGGGCACTGCGCGTTCGTATTTTTAAGACCTGGGACAGTCTTGCGCACTTACATTCTGTCGCGCGCACTTACATTCTCGCGCGCACGCGCTCTCAAGTGGCCAAGACCGCAAGTGTGGGTATTTGGACAAGGGGTCAGTCCGGCTGCTCTGCTCGTGCACATTCCATCATCGGTTCTCTTTTAGCAGTTCAGTCAATGTACTGTTAGGAGTAACTGAATAACTCGGGATATTGGTTTATTTCGCGTCAGAGGGAGTGTCAGGCACGTTTATAAAACGAATAGCTTAAGTAATTTGTGGATTAGTGCGTACTGGAAACCCCTTTAATTATAATAAAACTCACGTTATGAGCCCTTGATGTAAACTACATTACCCATAATGCTCTGGGCGTCGCCATATGACGCAGATACACCTCTTACTGTGATTGGCTGCTTTCTGCAAAGCGTTCACTACACTCTCATTCAGAGGGTTGAAGGTGAAATTTGCTGTTCTTTGTATGCAGTTTTCCATCGCGATTATGCCGTCCTGTGCCCTTTACAGTACACACACACACCTGTGCAGATATCTGGTGAGTTTGAGCTAAATAAATCGATAGCCGATATTGACTATGCCGCGAGACTTACGGCGCATACAGCAGTTTGACTGCAGGCGTTTTTCATTATTTCAGAACCGAAGTTACCCAGTCCTGTTTTAAACAGTGCAACTCACCTCTTAAAATGTAGATATTCAAAATATAAGGTGTTCATATAAATGCAACAGCCATTTGTTATGCCAGCAAAATAGTTTTTGAATCTGCCTTTGCAGGCACATAAATATCTGAGCAGGACCTACAGCACACGACCATCTCTAAATGTGAGTAAAATATTATGCGATTTTATCAGTTTATGGAGCCAGAACTGGTTCTGTCAGTGAATATTATCTGCATTGAGTGTTATCTTCCTCTCATTTCTATCTGGACAGGAAGTCGTCATTGTCAGTGCAGTCAGGACTCCTATGGGCTCATTCAAAGGAAGCTTTTCCACAGTCCCTGCAACTAAACTGGGCTCCATTGCTATTAAAGGAGCCGTTGAGAAAGCAGGTAAAATTCTGATGGTCTTAGGAGAAATTCATATTTTATTTCATGTTATATACAATTCTGATGGCCTTAGGAGATATTCGTATTTTATTTCATATTATATTTAGATATTACATTTATGTAGTTTAAGAATATAACAGTTAATTATAATTAATATATTTTTTATAATATTATGTTATTTCATTATTAATATTAATATTTTCAAATGTACACCACGGCCATTCAAAAGTTTGGGGACATATAATTAATTTTTGAAAGAAAATAATATTTTATTTAGCAATAATGCATTAAATTGAGCCAAAGTGACAGTAAAACATTTATAATGTTACCAAAAAAAGTGGATTTCATATAAATGCTGTTCTTTGGAACCTCTGTTCATCAAATAATCCTGAAAAATGGTAATGCTAATTAGAAAAGTATGCTATTTGTTTCTACGACAAGTGCAACATAGTTTGATATTTTGTATTCTAATGCTATGCTATTCATATGTGTGTTATTATTTCTGCATTTTTAAGTCTTATTTGTTCTAGCTGTCTGCATGATAAAAGGTTTATGTGTCATCTACAGGAATTCCTGTTGAGGAGGTGAAGGAAGTTTATATGGGCAATGTGTTGCAGGCAGGAGAAGGACAAGCACCAACCAGACAGGCTCTTCTGGGTGCAGGTGAGTCATATATCATACACATAAACAAACATCATAAAAAAAATGCACCTTTTATTTCGGAATTTACAAATGCAACTTCTCAAAGAAAAGTGAGTGATGTTTGTGATCTTCCTCATGTAGGTCTCCCTCTGTCCACTCCGGCAACTACCATTAATAAAGTGTGTGCTTCTGGGATGAAGTCCATCATGATGGCCGCTCAGAGTCTCATGTGTGGGCATCAGGTAATGTGAAAGACACGTTACCAGAGATTCAAAAAGTGTTTTGTGTGTAAGTAACAGCCTTTAGCGTGCTAATACAGCAGAGATAGTAAATCTACCTGATGTCGGCCAGGATGTGATGGTTGCTGGTGGAATGGAAAGCATGTCTCAGGTTCCTTATGTCATGGCCAGAGAAGCGCCCCCTTATGGTGGAGTGAAGATGGAGGATCTGATTGTTAAGGATGGGTTGACGGACGTCTACAACAAATTCCACATGGTACATGTTTTTTTGAACCAGTAAAACAGATTGCATTGTATTTGCATAATAGTTAAGCCTGCAAATAAGTACTTAGTAAATAAAGGAAGTGAGTGAAGTTGTGTGGAGGCATTGGACAGCAAATGCACTGTACGTATAACACTGGGGAGGCCATGACTGTGTAAAACTCCTCCATATTTCCCCATTTTTAGGGCAGCTGTGCTGAAAATACAGCCAAGAACAGTGGTATCTCCAGGGAGGAGCAGGACGCGTTTGCCATCAACTCGTACAGCCGCAGCAAAGCAGCATGGGAGTCTGGCATCCTGGCCAAGGAAGTGGTTCCTGTGAGCATCCCTCAGAAAGGTTGGTTTAAGTTCCATATCATTCCCCAAGAATTCCCTATTATGGGCTAAAATATTTTATTGCATAATATATAAATATGATACGTAATTGCAATAAAATATGCTCTCTCACCGCATAGGAAAACCAGACATCATTGTGAAGGAAGATGAAGAATATAAGAAGGTTGACTTCAGCAAAGTCCCCAAACTGAGGGCTGTGTTCCAGAAAGAGAACGGTACAAGATTATCATTAGCCCTAGTGGAAACGTACTGAACATAGTGTTCTTCAAATTTTAAAAGTATATTTTTACAAAACTGTACATGAAAATAATATAAGCATTTTAAAAAGTCACATTGTAATAATCTCAAATGAAAAACTTTACTAAAAAGTTCATTTTAAATCATTGTTTTAATAATATATTTGTCCACCTGTTTTGATGTGCTGACTAACATTAAAGCAGATGTAGAGTACTTGATTATGATTTAACTGTAGCGTGTTATTCAATGTTACATTTCAAGTTAATAGATTGTAAATGTTATTCATTGCAGCTTCATCAGAACAAATGTGCAATTACAAATATATTCAAATAGCTGACATACAAGTTTCAATAGAAATGACTTTAAAGTATATTTTAGTTTACCTTAAATGCTTGTACATTCAGTAGTGCACTTCAACCATATTTCAAAGACAATAGAAGTAATTATGAAATTACATATAAAGATGCACTTAACTCCTACTTAAGTGGGTTAAAAAAGCACTCTAAATTTGAGCTAATTGCGTTTATCATAGATTTTAACTATAATACATTTTAGGGCTGCACGATAAATCGCATGCGATAT